TGTCTAAACAGGCCGTCTGTCCACTGTTCGCTGTCCGTCGTCCGCTATCCAGTGTCTCCGATTGCTCAAGAGTCGTACACTCGTATACTCGTATAGTAGTCGGCCAGAGCTTGCAATCGCTGCCGTCCCGAATTGTTCGGCGCAAAACGCGCTTTAGGCCGCATAAATTTACTCGCCAGCTAACTAAGGCTGGCTGATGGCTGAGGCTTTGCCCAACTCGGCCTCAAAACTGGTTCCATTTATGCAAGTTTCGCTGTTGCCTGATGATCTTACTGTAGCTGTTGTTGTTGTTGTTGTTATTATTGTTTGCTGTTGTTATTGTTGTGTTTGGCGTCGTTTGCTTCGCTTTTGGTATTGTGCCAGTTGTTGCTTTGCTTTCGCATTCAATTTTGCGCTCTGGCCTCAGATACATTTTACTTACTTATCGGCATCTAAATTCAGACGCTGTCTTGCAGTCCAAAGCAGTCAAAGTCTTCTGTTTGGATGCAACGAGATCCAGGCACAACTAGAGCCACTGCCAGTGCCCGAGCCAGTGCCATCAGGGAACAATCAACAACCCAACTCAGCTCAACTCAATCCCAAAACCAAAACTTAAACCAAACCCAATACTGAACGTTCGACTGAACAAATAATAATAATAAACGATGAATGGAGACCTAAATCGCATGCATCGAAAAGTATCGAGTTTCAATGCACGAAGTGAAGGAAACAAAACCAGCAACAACAACAACAACATTAGCAACAAAACAAACACATAATGCGATCAAAAATTGGGTAAAAGGCAAAGCTAAACTACGCTAATCGTTATGAATTACGATGACAGGGCAAGAGATAGAAAGAGCGGGAGCGAGAGAGAGAGCGAATAAATGAGAGTGCGAGCGGGTTATGCAATCGAGAGAGTCAGGTTCCATTAGCATCAAAAGTAACTGAATTTGTTTATTTCATAATTTGAATTTCCATTTCATTTACTTGATGAAGTCCGTCGTCCCGCTCTTTCGAGTAAACATTCGATTTATGGATTGAACCGAATTCTTTGTTTACTTCTGAGTTGCAGCTCTTTATGCAGATTGTACGAATATATTTATGCATGTACATATATACAAGTACATATATATGTACATATGTAGGTATTTATATACACATACGTACATGTGTATGTAAGTACGCACAAATAGCTTGCTTGTTTGTTTGTTTGTAAATACGGCCAAGTGAAGGTCTTTGAAGATACATACATATATACACATTTGGAAAACACACACGATTAACTTTCCGTTATAGACATTAATGTTAATGGGCTTTCGTTTTGTTCAAATGTTTATTTTTGTATCAAAGTGTACAAAGTATCATTGATGGCGATGTTGATGATGATTGGTAATAGCTATGACCATTTTACGAAAGTGTGGGGCCAAATGAACATCAACAAAATAAACAAATGCGATTATTATAAAATATTTCAAGTATTTATTATTCATACCTTATCAATATACATATTAATACAAATGCAAAGATTATTGTTTACCAACACAGTTCAATAATATTTTGAGTTTATTTTGAAGGGGCTTCTTCTATTACTGTCCCTCTATGCTTTTATCATTGCTGGCAAAATCCTGCGATGAATGACTAAACAAGATATAGGAGAGCAAGATAAATGTAAATATCCTCTAAGAACACTCTAAAGATTTTTTTCATTTTTTCAGGAATGCGCTGTAGATCTCTCTTTGTCGCGTACAATCTGTCGGATTCATTTCCATTTCAGCTCAATAATTCGTCTTTTCTAGGAATCGACCTAAAATAAAATTAAACAATTAATGCACGCCTGTATAATAGACTTCCATCAGATTCTAACTCTTGAATTTTCTAGATAATGCTTCTATATTAAAAAGTTAAATCACTCGTTTGATTCTCAATTATGCAAAGTCAAATACTGGTGTTTCACTTAATAGAGATACACATACTTTATATATAAGATAATATTTGTGTAAGTCGTTAATGTACATAAAAGGACCTTCTATCTAATCTCTGAAAATTTAATCAAGCTCCTAAAGAAGAAGTTTAAAAACTTGTTATGTATATGTATCCTCTTCTTTACATTTGCCCAGTTTCAGATATTCGTAATAAAAGCGAAACAAAAAACCCAAGATGGAATGTTACAGTCCATTTATCCAAAAAGCTATCAAGTAACAACGCAAAGCTAAATGAAAGTCAAAATATCATGTTATGTTTTTATCAATTCAATATAAATGGAACTCAAATACATTAATATGTTGCTTTATCTTGATTTATTGATCCATATAGATTGATTTCTTCACTCATCTTGTATCGTACAGGTACCAAAAAACTGATGGGCTAAGTGAAGTATGAAGGAAAACTAACTAGTGCAAAATTTGGTTGACATAGGGAATAGACTATTCATATAAAGTTTCTGTGGGCCAAACCTGTAGGCGTTTCAGACAGCTTTGCGGAGATGTCTATGTGGACCCCACTCTTGGCGACGCTCAAACATTTAGATGCCTCACTACATTTTAGATGGTTTCTTATATAAAAAAGATATTATTTTCACGATTCATGAGCATCTAGATAGGTTCCGATATAGCATATCAGCTAGCAATTGCAAAAATTTGGTAATGGTCAGTCAAAGTGAGATAATACTATAATGAACTATACTATAAACTACAAGTATAATACTATAAACCCATCAGATATACTTGATGTTGTCTTACAAAGAATGATTTTTTAAGCTTCACGCTCCGTTTTTCTGTCTCAATAGTTAAAGCCCTTACATTTTTCTCACTAGGGGGTATGTTTTTAGACAAATACATATGTATAATGTTTACTTATTCGTTAAGATTTAGTTAAGATATCTGTGTTGCGATTGTAGTGCTTTTTTCAATTTAGTTTATGAAAAAAAAAAATCTATCTAAGACTCAAATATCAAACAATTGAGTTTCAAATTGAAAGGAACCATATTTAAGTGTTCTGATTTTTGTTGTATTGATTTGATTTTCAAATATAGTACCTCGGTTTCACGAAACAGATAAATTAAAGATAATCTATGCCAACTTCCACAAACACAGTCGCACTGTTTGTAATTACGATTTCAACGTGACTGCTGATTTAAATTTGAACAGTATGCCTGCTTTATACAAAATTTAGTCTTTTTGAAGCTTGATTCTATTCATCAGTTTTTGTGTTTTACCTTTTTGCGCTTCTTCGGAATTCTATTTTATTGTCAGATTTTTAAAACGGACATTCAATTGATTTATACATTAGTATCTGGAATATATTAGATGGATAAATAAATCTGGGGCTTTGAAAAGGCTTAGCAAAGAATATCAATCCCAAGGGAATTGAATGTTTAGTTGCTTATATACTATGAACATATCCATATGCCCACTTTCTACGACCCGCTGTGTCATTTTAAAGCTTTATACTTATCTACACTTTCTAAAAACCTCTCACCATAAACATTAAACTACTTGTCCCCAAAACTTTTACACCGCACCGAACACAGAGCGAGCAGAATGAGCGATGCCATGGTAGCGGCAAATTCGCTTTGAAACTTTTCATGAACTTTTCGGAAAAGTTAATTGATTTATATTTTGACATTTTTACAAAAGGAAAAACCTGAAAAGCCGACAAAAGAGACAATGGCGGGGCGCTGCACAATACAAGTTGCAACTCTAGAGACCTTTACGTGACAAATGCCATCAGAGCAAGTCGGAGTCAGAGCAGGAGTCGAAATCAAACTGAAACTCGAAGTGGAAGTCGAGTTTTAGTTTTTTGTTGTTGTTTCATTTGCGCTGTGGCTACTCCAAAGGCAGTTGGGAAAAGTTACTTAATCATGTGCTCCAATTAGTGGAGCGACTTGCTGCTGGGGCTGCAGCTCGAGTGGAAGGCATGGAAGCGAGCAGCAAGCAATTGGTTTCGTTGCCAAGCGCATATATTGTGCTCGAGAAGCGGGTTGGAAAAATAAAAATGGAGTGTCACGGCTGGCGCACAACTGGCGCGTGTTGTTGCTGCCGGGGAAAGGGGAGCCGCCGCTGGCACCCAGACAAAGGCAGCGCACTGTATTGTGCGACGCTTTATTGCCAGCAGCAACGTCTATGAGTTGCTTCCGATGCAGTGTGGTGCTCCGACCCCCCGCTACCACCATTGCCCGCATACTGCGCCTTGGCACTGCCACTGCTAGTACGCGATATTGTGGACACCACTCGCTGTTGGAGCGCTAGCTGGCTTGCAATTTGGCTCTGCGAGGGTCCCAAACAGAGCTCTCTCTCTCTCTCTTTTTTGCTGACTCTCGTGCGCCCTGCCCTCTCTTAGAGGTTGTGTTCGTTCGTCTGTCGGTCTTGGCGTGTGCCAGTGAGGTGAGTGAGTGAGTGAGTGAACGGGCATGCGGCCACCTCTTGCGTCTTGCCCAGTGCCACCCCCTCTTAGCCCACTTACTGTTCGGATAGTCGTTCGGCTTGTGCTGCCAGTGTCGCTCTGTTCGGCGCTCCCTCTGTTCGGCGTCTTTCATCAGCATATTTTCGTGTTTATCGCTGAGTGATGAAAATTATGTTGATGACGTTTGCATAGCTCTGCTCTTTGTGTTCGCTTTGCACGTCGCCACCAGCCACCAGCCGCTAGCCGCAAGCCACCAGCCACCAGTTGGCGCTGCTCCCTCTGCTCCTCCTAACAACGGCATACAACTAGCGAAAGTTGCGCTAAATTGGAACATCAGCATTTTTGCTTCTGTTTATTTTTATTTTTCATGTTTTTTTTTGCGCCATCAAAAACTTGCGGCAAAGCAGCAACAAAACAACAACAACAACAACGCAGCCACAAAATATTTATTTACATACAACATAAAATACGCGTCGGGCTCATCCATTTAGCATTTTGTGTGTGCATAAATTTATTTATTTAGTTATTTATGTCCATACTTTGTCGTTGGGGCGGCTGGGCGGTGGAATTGCGGTCAGGCAGCTTATCAAGTCACTTTTTCCACCGAGCGTTCAGTACCTTCGATAGCTCAGTTGGTAGAGGCGGTGGACTGTAGATCGGTAGCGCCCGGGATCGAAACTCCCGGCGGTGCGAAATAGAGAGAAATCCATAGGTCGCTGGTTCAAATCCGGCTCGAAGGAGTTAATTTTTTTTTATTTTTTATTTTAAAAATACACTACATCTAATGAAACAGTCTTGTAACCCGAGAAAAGAAAATTAAAAAAAGCAAAACCGCTGAGCCAACCATAAACTAGTTCATAGCTTAACAGCTAAAGTGGATATTATTTGCAATTATTGATATTGTAATTGCACAGCTTCAAAAATTTACATAAATCCTAGTACGGATTTAGATATCGATGTTTTAGTTTATTTTACATTTGGGTATTTTTATGGTATGAGGGTGTATGAAGAGGCCGGAGAGGGCAAGTCACGCTATTATAACAATATTCTTGGTATAATTACAACCAAAATGTACACATACTCGTATATTGCTAACAAATCTAGACATATTATATGTGTATGTACAAGATACACATCTTATTTTAGTGATGGACTTACGTACTAGTAGAAAACACATAGAATCTCTTTAAATTGAACCTGCATTTTTACATATAGACGCCGATGCACTATCCGGATGTAATTGACAAATTTTAGTTACAAATGCCAAGTATTCCAGCAACTGTGGAATATCTCCAATAGCGGGTTAAGGGGTGGAAGGAAAATTTAAAAATATGTGTGAAATTTGTGGGGTTTGCGGCGCTCAAATCTAATATTCTCTTGTACCATTCAGGTAAAATAAATTTCCTTGGTAAGTTTCCTTGTTAGTAAAAAGTTTGGTTCCGCGAAGGAGGCGCTGGACTTCAAAGTGAAGTCAGGTCTGTCAATAGTATGCTAAAGCTTCAGCTTAAGAATGGTAATGCTATAACTGTGACCGACAATACTAATAAGGGAAAGTCGAATTCAAGTAATTCCATTTTGATACCATCCTAATTACTATACTGCTAAGTAACAAAAACTATAGTTTCGAAACTTAAGAATTACTGCATGTAGTAGTTATTTGAATTGACTCCAATTGACTTCCTCAAATTATTCACTTAGAATAGCCAATAGATACAATGCACATATTCTTCAGTTTATTCCTGCAAGCTGTGCCACATACATATATTTCCCGTAATGAGTCTCTATTTCTATTCCGTACCAAAATTTAACATCAGTTATATAAGTAATTAATAATAAAATACTAATAACATTAGTTGCAGGGTATTTAAAATCGACGAATCCATCGATACTCCTCCTTCAGTTTTAGACCTATATCGGGGGGCACTCCCTCCGGTATAAACAAAAATAGCAATACTTTAAGAATCTGCTTTTGTTTGTGTTTTACAGCAAAGCTGTCCACCAAAGGATATTATTGCAGAGAAAATGCCGAATTCGAAATGTAATAAATAAGTTTTTAATGATGCATCGGTTTTTATAATAATTGTGGGGAAAAAAATCACTATATCGTACCGCCTGAGCATTGAATCTTCCTGGCCAATCAAATCCTTGCTGTGGCTTCTGCTTTCGAAAAGAAATATCTTTCTTAACTTCAATCCAAATATTATTGCATTTTTTGCGATTCGCAAGAACGGCTTGTTTGTCAGTCATTTGATTTTCCTAGATTATCGAATCTACTTCATTATCGGACAAATATGTCTATAAAAACTTTGATTAAACACGATTTAATTATATTAGGAGCAATATTCAGTATTTTGGGATCCACATACAACTCAGCCTTTTCCTCAAAACAAAATATATTTATCTTGTCTGACAACAATACGAGTCGCCATTTTAACCGGAGGCCAATTCCGGTGTTTGCAGTCTAAACCACAAACGCTTTTCCGCATGGCTTCCAGTTAATAGCGCTTTTTTTATAAAATAATAATAATAATTGCAATCTGTTCAGCTAGTCTCCTACTGTTTCTCTGCTAGCCGATACCTTGCTACAAGTATTATAGTTATATAGATAGCCATTGCAGACTTGTGTCCTCCTGTTTCTTTACTTCGACAAAGTATTCCAGCAATCGTACCAGCTTCAACATAATTTTTGTAACTTTTTTCTTTTTGACGTTTATACAATAATCCTTCATAATGAAGGAATGAATGCTTTAGCCCTTGAAGGGTCAGTATTTCTTTCTTTGAATCAGCGAACACCAACTTCCAACCAACAATAACTATGCAATTTTTTTTTTAAATAACGACGCTAATATTTTGTGAATACTTTTTACTTGGCTCATTTGATAATAATAATTATTAGTTACATAGTATTTGGATTCATTACAGAGTTAGGCATTAGGAACTCAAAATCCAACTTTAATTTCAAATGTATTGCTTCTTAGATCTTAGAAAAAGCTTACAGAAATAATGATACGAGCATAAGCCTTAGTTCTGCGAAAGCTTTATATATCTGGGGACCGTTTAACTTCAACTAAAATACAGTTTTGAGTTCATATTTTCAGGGAAAAGATACAAAAGGTACTGTATTTGTTTAACTTTAAAGGTACCAAGTATGCCAAGAAAATGAATTTGAAAAATAAATAGCGTTTTAATGGAATCAACACTCAGCCTTTGGGCTGTAATTGTCGCTAAGTCTTAAAGACATTGGCACAATAGTATGTGAGTACATATGTATGTATGGACAATACATATATATCTATTATCGTTTATTTACTTTGCAATTTCGCAATTCGACAATAATCTGGCACACAAAGTTGCTTAGGAGAAACTAAACTTGCAGACAGCAAAAACTTGAAACTGTGAAGACCGAGTGATGCGATAAATTAGCGAAACCTAATTTTATGGTGCTGGAACTGGAGCCGCCGGGTAATATCAGACAAAAAGCAGTTGCTCGCCAGCACAGTATAATTAGTAAAATCGTGGATAAAAGAAAAAGAAAAAAAAAACGTAAATATATTTTAGAGGCCTTTTTTGCGTTGCTCGGCCAAGCGTTCAATTATCATTGACTGGCTCGAATGATGGAGCGTAACGATGCGGTGTTGGTGGCGGTGGCGGGGCGGGTGATCGAACGAGGCGAAACCCCAATAAGATATCGAAAAAACAAAAAACTGAGAAAACTAAAAGAGACGTGCGCTGTTGCCGCTTTTCTGTAGCACGACGTCGTAATCGCAATCACAGCGTTACTGTAAAGGCGACGAACAAAACGGGGCAGAGAGAAAGAAAAACGAATTCGCCGCAAATGAATGCCGGTTCACAAATACATACACATAAATATGGCTGCGAGTGTGTGAGTGAGTGAGCGAGTGAGTGTACAGAATGAAAAATCTCATATTCGAAATTCGAATAAAATATTGAGTTCGAATAATACAGAGAGTTACTACAATGTGGCGCATTTTACTACAATTATGCTAACCGCTGGGTTGCCAAACTTCAGTAACGCACACACACACACACACACACACACACACACACACACACACCACACACACACACACCACACACACAGTCATACACACACAAGCACACACTGATGGCGAAACCAAGTTCTCATAACCATAATGTTGATACCTTCGAATATTGTCGAGCAGATTTAACTTTGGCGCCATTTATGGTGATTGACAATCGTCGGTTGTGGTTTTAATGCTGGTGGTCGGACGGGCGGTGGCCGGACGGTGGCCGGACGGGCAGCAGTCGGACGGTCGCTCTGTTGATTGTCCCTCCCCCTCTGCAGGCGCGCACGCACACGCCCTCTGATGCCATATAAATCGATTCGTTGTCACTTCGTGTGGAGCGTTTCGTCGGCTTTCACATACATACATACACACATACTTGCATGCATAGGCGTGTGTGGTGCATGTATGGGTGAGGAATTGAAAAACTGTTTTCCCAGTTGCTGTTGCTCTATGAAACCGCAGTATGTATGGATTGGTCTTGTTTTTACAGCATTTTTTATGGTTTTCATTTGATGGGCTTTTCGGCTATAATGCTTTTCACACATTTCCCCGGTTCGTTTACGGCCCCCTGAATACAGCACAAAGGCAAAAAACAAAACACAACACATTACGGCATTAATTTATTTATAAACAATTGGGGAATGCTTTTTAAAAGCTTTATTTGGCGCCGTCGAAACTGAAAGGAATACTACATTGAACACAGAAATGAAACCATTTAATTATAGAATTTTTGCGTGTCGCTTTGGCATTTCGATTTTCTCTGCGCTATGTTTTCTGTACAATTACAAACAAAATATGTGCCGCAGAAATGTATTGCAAAAGCAAAAGCAGCAGCAACAACAACAACAGCAGCAGACAATAAAACACACAAAAACACATCGATTATTGAATTTGTTTCGAGATTAAAAGCATTTTGTGGCTGTATACAAAAATATATATGTATGTATGTGTGTGTTGTGTGTGTGTGTGCATGTGTGTGTTTGACGTGTTTGTTGTGTTTGTTGTGTTTACTGTGTGTCGTTTGTGTCTGACGTGGCTTGGTGCATGACGTCAACGCCGCTGACGTAGACTGGCAGGCGCATTGACGTTGACGCCATTTTATGTCCGACGTCGCCCATACCTGAACCAGAGCCAAGCGAAGGCGATGGCTTTGGGGCTTCCGATGATGCGTGCGGCTTGTGGGCGGCTTGTTCTTCTTCTTTATTATTGTTTTATGCGTTATTATTTAATTGAACATGTAGGCTCCACACACACACACACACACGAACATGTGTATTGAAGCGATTCAACGGCAATTATTGATTGTAACCAATACGTTATTTTATTCACTTTGCATATCCTTTAAACCAAAGGAATAACAGAAATAAAAAGGTTTCTGAGAGTGAGATAATATTGACGGGCTATCAGGACGGCGAGAACCTGATTACTTCATCAGACAGCTGATGGAAATCAGGTATCGCTTTTATAATATTTTAATTAGAGGCGGTGCCAGCATTCATTATTAAATTTCAAAAGAAGAACCTAAACGTTATCCTTAAATAATAGCACGACGTTTGGAATGCATTGCTATTGTTGCCATACCCGTGTTTGTAGACCAATTTAATCACAAATATATATTTTTATTAAGTGTACACCCTTATCACTAAATTTAAAACGTATGTTGGACACTAATCGAGGTTTGGCAATTAAAT